CCTCTCTCCAGGCCTTCTGAAAAGCCGTTAAAACCTGGCTGTGATGGCAGGCCTGGGATTGATGAGGTCCCTTCCCCTCTCGCTTTGTGTGTCTGTTGGTTATTTTTTAAATGCTTGTATTTGTAGTTTTTGTGTTTCCCTTTCCCCCTTTGGGTTTGTGCGCCGCCCTAAGTCCCGCTGGGAATAGGGCGGCATATAAATAAAACTAAAACTAAACCTAAACCATATCAGACAGGTGGGTATCTAATCTTTGCTTGAACATATTGATGAAGGGTACAGGGAAAATGACTCTTGGTAAATTGTTCTGCTGTAGGGTTGTTTTTATTTTTAGGAAGTTTTTTCTAATATTTATTCTAATATTCAACTGAAATCTGTCTTCCAGTAACTTAAATCCATTATTCCTGGTCCTTTCTTTTGGAATCAGAGAAAAAACTATCTTGATCTTTTTCCATCTGACATCTTTCTGATATTTGAGGAGTGCTATCATATCTTATCTCAATAATCTCTTCTAAGACTAAAGATATGAAATACTTAGGGTCATTCTTCATCGAATTTAGCTTCTAATCTCCTTGTCAAGTTTGTTATGGTGCCAAGAATCACCTACAGTTCTGAAGTTCCTTTGATCCAAGAGAGTAGACAAGAATAATTATGCCTTGTAATGTTCATCCTTTGTAGGATTTTATACAGATTGGTATCTTGAATCCATGAGCAAAATTGCTTTGCTCAACTTTTTAGCTTTTAGCCTTATGCAACACTGTCTGCTATTATCACAATTAGCATCCCGTTTTCTGGGTTATCTTGATATAACTCAATTGTGCATGAAGAACACACTACAAAGTACCATATAAGCATAATATATCTTTAAAAAGAAAAGTTGCACATATTAAAACAATATATTTTATTGAAGAAATTTAAAAAACTTTATATCACTATAAATGTAGATGCATTTATGAGTTATTTTAACAAAGCAATCAAATGCATGTCTTTGCAGAACAAAATTCCTCTTTGTTCAATTATAATTGATGTGCTAGAGGAGGGTTGTGTTAGCCTTTGGTTAAAATTAGGTGGCATTGTCCAAGCTATCAGTTAAAATACGAAAGAGATATTCACTCACAGCAAACTGATTGTGTCCTCCTGGTGATTAAACCAAGTTTAGGTGCTACCACAAGATACAGCTTTATTGCTGCCTCTCAGATTGGTTTTTCAATCCACTAGTCAGGATAATCATGACAACACGAACATATTGCAGCCAAAATTAATAATTCAGTTATAAGTCATGGATTGAATTAAAAGTATAATACTTACATCTGTCCTAATTAAATGTTTCATATTATTTTATTAGACTCGTGTGTATTTAACAAAACTGCTCCATTCCACTGGATAAGTGAAATGATGTGGAAAGAATGTCAGTACATGAGTACTCAAATACCAGCATTCAACCTATTGTGCAGTTCTCTGTCAACATATCCTCAACAGTGGAACGATTTTCTAGATAGTGAGAATGTGTATGATTTGATTAGTACATGTTATAGACCATTATCACCAAAGCAAGGTAACTGGTAAAATATAATAATTTTCCTGGGCTTAAACAATCTCAAGAAAATGCAAGTTTGAAATATCTGTACATCCTTTACCTCTACCTCTTCCAAAACCACTTGGAAGAGGATTTATGCTAATTGTTTTTTCTAACTGGATGTTAGAAATAAATTAATTAAATCACGTAACTAAATATAGATGGGAAATGTATAGCTGTGCAAAAGTCAGCAAGTTGTATGCCTTGTGCATTTTATGTACTTTATGTAACTGTAATATAGATACTAACATGCCTTCCATATGGCATTAACCAAGTATAGATTGTTGATGTCCTAATAACTTGTTCTATATGCAGCCCATAGTAATTCCATACAAATGAAACTCAATATTTTATAGTGCTTTTTTTCAAGATATAAATATTCAAATGCTTATTCTCCAAATAATCTATATAAGCAGTGTACCATCCTTTCCCCTAACTCTTATATTCAAATTAGCATTTCAACTCCCTCTTTAATGAACTGTGACATCATGTATATTTTAAATAAATAATTACATTTAAAAATGTTTTTGTTTTTTGTAAAGTAAGCATGTCCCTAAATACAATGGTATAGAAATACAATTCACAATAAAATAATTCAAAAAGTTAAAATATTTAGATTACTAAAATCAAGGAGAGTGAAGAACTTGAAGTCACTACCTTTAGTCAATGTTAGTCATATTGTCTGATCCTTTGAAGGCAAATGACCAGTTGAATTGCTACAGGGCAGTATACTTTCCCACATAAAATAAATCACATTTTCCATAAAATTTGCCTATTAATGTGAAACAATGATTTGCTGACCAATGAATAAGAGACTAATGGTTAAATGTAAACATTTATTCAACAATTGTTTGCTTTGTCTTGCAGGAAGTCATACTAAAATGAGATAATTACAGAACTTATAAACATGTATAATAAATATTCCACATTATATGCTTTTACCTGATATATTTTTGCACATATTGTGCCCTTTTTGTTCCTCATATGGCCTTTTAAACACTGATCACTTCTCTATCCTAGAACTTCCTGGATTGCATAATAATTTATTATCTGCTTTCTTGTGCATAACCTTTAGAAATAACTAGGCAACCCATGCTTCATTGGATCATCATTTCAGAGATATTTCCTTACCTAAATAAAAAATAGAATGACCATGATGGGCAAATAGATAGTGGAAACAAATGACTTCCTTCCTTCCTTCCTTCCTTCCTTCCTTCCTTCCTTCCTTCCTTCCTTCCACATTTCGTCCTGTCCTCTCCCTTCCCAGCAGGCAGGTACATTGCTAGTTCTAGGTGGGTGAGCAAGGGATTATGAGACTGACTGGGAAACTGTCAGAACGTGGAAAATAAAGATCATGTGCAGCAGCCCAATAGACAGCCACTAGTAATAAAGCAGTTATAACTTTCCCAAATTTAATTCCCTTAGGAATCATGGGTTCCATATTTTTGATATGTTCTGTAAGTTAGCCCATTTGAGGTACCTTGATCAAAAAATATTTTCTATGAAGTATGATTTTGCCCATTTAAAAGTCATGACAAGAATTTTAGTAAGGGACATCTTGTTTGATCAAGGCAATATGCTTGGAAATTTTAATTACATTAAACAAAGTTTATAATACTGAAAAAGTACCAATTTGTTACAATGTTTATACAGTATAATTGTTAAACATTTCAACGTTTCAGTAATTATTTAATAATTACTTTAACAGAGTCAGAATCACAGCTAGGAAGAGAAAGTGAGGAGGAGGAGGAGGAGGAGGAGGAGAAGAAGAAGAAGAGTATACATGTAATTTTTCCTTGGGAGAAGCTTTCTCCATTTGAAAGACTTATATTGGCAAGTAATGAAAATATTACTGGTTTAAAGTATTTTTTGGCATTTAGAAGAAGCATGTTTCTAGCTGATTTGAAAGATATCTGACAGTTAATGATATTGGCATACAAAATTCAGAAACTGTATTGTATTGGGAGAGCCAAACATTTTTCCTTGAGATTAGACTGTCATCTCCTGCTATTTCTGAGGACTGTGAGGGCATGATTTTGACATCTCAAGTGTGGGAAAGGATGAACTTTTCAGATTTTTTGCTAGTTGATTGGAAAGAGGGCTAAAGGAGGGGCAAAACTTATGTATTTGTGTTCCTCCGCTAAGCAACACCCAGAACTAAACATCACAACACTTTGTGTAAAACAAGATGTTATCATTGTCACTTTTATTTTTTCTAGATAAAAGTTCTTCGTTCAGAAATGTTAAACCAAGCAGTAGAAATATTTGTAACTGAGAAATTAGGAACTAGGTATTTTCAGACTGGAGGAATTAATTTAAAACAAATGTATGAAGGATCTGATTCTACAACTCCACTAATTATCCTCCATACTCATGGTGAGCATTTGATAGACTGTATGTGTTCCTTTGTGTTCAGCACATGTGTATATATGTATTAGTTTGTAAATTATTTTTTATATTTATTCTATATATGCAAATAATACATTTATCATCTATCTAACACTACTTGTTACTAACAAGATCAGCACATTCTGATTGCTTCCACCTATCTTATCCAATCCAGCAGGAGAGGAATACTGTGGGTACCATTGGCCAATGAATATCTGCTGGTGGGGCCCAGTAGGAGAGCCATCCCTCCATAGTGCCCACCTTTGTATAATATCATCCTTCCAGAGATTAGGTTAGGTCTCAATTGTATATTAAACTTTAAATTTCTCCAAATCAATATGTGTATTTGAATCCAGAATTTTCCACTGAGTCCACCAAACATTAAATGCCCCTTCATTTTTTTTCACATTTTCACCATAAATTTGAAGTGCCTTTATAGTTTCTAGACAATTTGTAAGGTCTCCATTGTTCCATCTGTATATTAAAACCATTATTTTAGCCCACTTCATCATATGTACTTTCACTTGTTCTTTTGTGGTTATTGTTGTTGTTTTATGATGTTTTATATGTGCAACTTGCACAGAGTTTTGTGATTGGGGCAGTATAGAAATTGTGCCAAATAATTAAATAGATAAATAATAAACTATAGTCAATCTGTTTTGAGTACATTGCAGATAATTTATACAATTTGTCCACAAATAGTCTAGATTGTTCTTTCCTCTCTTTTTTAAGCAGTTTTTTTATTTTTTGTTACATACGGTACTTAAAACTTCTTTATAAACAAATGTTGTCCAGGTTTTCCCCTCTTTACGTCTTCTAATTATATATAGTACATTTTACATCTTTTTTCCATTTCAGTCATCTCTTCATTCCATAATCTCCCGCTTAATTTGAATTTCTTCTTAATATATTGACAATATTATTATTTGCCTCTCCAAGTTACCGGTAATCACATTTAAATATCATTTCCATCTATTATTCTGTTTTACTGTTAATAACATATATCCTCAAATTTAATTTTTATATTAAACATTTCATCTGATTAGTTATTCACAAATTTTAATCTATTTCCCACACATTATATTAAACATAAACCTTTGGCTATATTCACTAAATTTGATTCTATTCTATTAACAAATCCTTCTCTTAATCATTTTCTCTTGGTCTCTCAGGAACTTTATTTCTCTTTTGGTCGTTTCATCCATTTACTTGGCTTTTTCTTTTTCTTGATCTTGAAATTTTTATATTTTTTCTTTCAGATTCTTTTTCTCCTTTTTAATTCTATTGTTCTGATAGCTCTTCCCAATTTTTCCCTTCAACTTTCCCCAATATTCCCATTTTTGCTATTTAACTTTCCCTTTTTGGGGGGAAGATTGTTCTTTCCTAATTGTGCCATTTACATTCCAACTAATGATTAACAATCTCTTCAGGTTTCCTCTGAGAATACCTCCATTAGGTCTTCCTTAGATTCACTTGGTGCCAACTTTTTATATTCATCTAACATTACAGAAAGTACAAAAGTTTTCAAGTCAATGCAGCCAAATAATCAGGCAGTGTTCTTAGCCATATTGCGCTGACTGACTGCTCTATTCCCAGATTATTTGAACAACTGCCTTTTTACTGGATTACATTTACCTGTCCCATCAGGTCCATTAGGAACTGTATATTCTGGGTCCATACACATATTCACTGACAATAATGTCACAGTAACATTGTTCTACGTAAATGTATTTTCACATGAAATAATAAAAGGTATTCTTTTGTATATTATATAGAGATAGACATTACAGCAATTGTCTTGCGCTTTGCCCAAGAAATAAAAACAAGTACACAAAATCTGCAAATGCTATCTCTGGGACGTGGCCAAGGAAGCAAAGCAGAGGAATTGATATATAAAGCACAAATACTGGGTGAACAGTGGGTATTCCTTCAGAATTGCCACCTCGCAACTTCATTTATGCCAAGATTGTGCAAAATTGTTGATTCGTAAGCACTTTTTAAAATAATTTCTATACATGATTTATTCTCAGATGGTGAGGAACCAAATTAGGCTAATTTTAGTTCTGTTCAGTTTTTGGTAGTCTCTGAGCTTGGTTAAAACCTAGAGATGTTTCATTATCAGACTAAGTAGCTTCATTGCTGTGTGAAAGAGTGGAATATGCTGAGTGGCCTACTAGTCTTGATGGGAATGTGGCTTCCCAGTTGAAACTGTGATTGAGTCTGTCCTTGTAAGGTTAGATCTTTGTCCACTTGTTTGATTAGTGTTCATGGAAACAGTTTGCCACTCATCTGTCTATCCAATGTAATCACAATTACAGTCCTTACATTGTATATTATAGGTAATTCTGTTTCCTGCTGCTATCTTCTATCCTGCTATGGATACATTAGCAGAAAATGCCCACATCTGAACCCAGCAGGATCTCTGACAAAATCTCTTTATATCCTTAAATAATAACCTATAAAGAGATAATTAAACATCTATGCCTATAGTAGACAGTATTAACATTAACATTATTTGTCTATAGAGATTTTCAGTTATTCAGGTCATGATTGTCCAAAAGGTGCTTTTCAGAAGGCAACTGGACTGCCTTTGTTTCTTTTCCTTGAAGGCAAAAAAAACCCTTCAAAAAGCTTCTTCAATTCTGACTGAATGGTGGGGAATGGAAGGATTCATATTCTTGTCTTTGCAATCATCTGGTCACTAGCACTCTGAAGGTTGGTCGTTGAGGCCACTTGAGTGTTTATCTGTATCCTCAGGGTCACCTGAATCAGAATGCAAATGGCTGTTGAACCTTCCTGAAACTTCAGCAGTTCCTAGAAGGTTCCACACCCATTTGCATTCTGATTCAGGTGACCCTGGACGTACAGATAAACCCACAACTGGCTTCAACGACCAACCATCAGAGTGCTAATGACCACATGACTGCAAAGAAAATAATATAAATCCTTCCTTCTCTACCATTCAGTCAGAACTGAAGAAGCTTTTTGAATGAAAAGTTTTTTGCCTTCAAGGAAAAAAACAATGAGAGCCCAATTGCCTTTTGAAAAGCATCTATGGGATTAACATTATTTCTTCTAATTTTTATGGGGTTTTTTGTAAAATAGAATTGATGATTGGGCACTATAATGTTGTATCACATTTCAAGTAGTAAAATTGTTATAAAAATGATTACTTCCATAGCTTTATCCTACCTGATACAACTATAAATCCAGGATTTAGACTATGGTTAAGTTCAACATCAGATAGATCTTTACCCATATCTATCTTGAGAAGCGGGCTAAAGGTAAGATTTCCAACAATCTGAGATATTATTCAGTAGTTTATATAATTACTAATGAGAGGATTTTTTTTACAAAGGATAAAATATAAGCTAAAATGAGTTGAGCTATGGTGAATACATTAACTTATAATAAAAATGTAGAGACAAATAATCTACATAATCAAACATTGACAGAATCTTGTTGCTTTAGGAGAAAGTTGAGTGTTTCTGCTAGCCCAAAATTGCATCTACATGGACAAAAATAAATAGATTTTAGCAAATTTGATGTAGAGAGCAAACAAGGTGGTCTTGTCAAACGTATGAAGGAATTATTGCCAAGACTAAGGGGGCTGAAATATTTTTAAAGTCCAGAAGAGACAGCATTCAAAAGCATCTCAGACAGACACCTCCTTAATTCACTGAACTATAAGTAGGTAGTATAAGATGACTGGATTTAAAAGATTATGTTATTATAGACAATGTCAGTAAAAGTTCTTTGTGTGTTTATTTGTTTTATTGATAAATTTCCTGTGAATGTTTACTCATAATCTGTTTGTTTATTTCCTCAAGATAGTAATAGAAACTCCACAAGGACTAAAAGGAACATTACTTCAAACTTTTGGATTTGGTGACACTGCTGTAGTAACAGAAACTATATTTAATAAAACCAACTGTGGGCCATCATGGAAAAGATTGTTGTTTAGCTTATGTTTCTTCAATGCTGTCATTCTTGAAAGAAAGAAGTATGGAGTTTTGGGCTGGAACATTCCATATGCTTTTAATTCTTCCGATTTAGAGGCAAGAGAAAATGTTATATAAAATTATATTTGCAAATTAAAATGTATTTTGCTGAACCTATGTCACTATGGATCTTTTTTCAATTGGCTCTCCTCCTTTTTTATTATATTCAATTTTTCCCCTAACCCAGTGATGAACCCTAATCTTTTAAATATCAAGTGCCCAAACTGCGCTCATGCGCATGTCCAAACTGAAAGATGTGTACGTGCGCACAAACTCCCACATGTGCAGACATGTGTAGACAAGTGCACAGAGAGACATGAACATGAACAGACATGCACACATGCAAGTGCAGATATGCGCACCTGCGCAGTAGAGACCCAAAGATCAGCTGGCCAGCGGGAGGCGTGGCATCCCAACACTGGCAGTGCAGCAAGAGGTAAGATCTTTTTCTTTTGTAACCTTCTGTTTTGTCGTTTGCAGAGAAACAGAAGCTCACAAAAGAAAAGCCACAGAGATCTGACCTGGGGAGATGGTGCACATGCCAGCAGAGAGGGCTCTGCGTGACACCTCTGGCACACGTGCCAGAGGTTCACCATCACGGCCCTAATCCATTAGTTTATGTACTTTTCTTTACCTTATTTAATATACTTTGTATTTAACTTTGAATTGTGAGGTTGGAAACAGTATTTTTTATTATCTTTGGCTTTGTAATTAGGAAAATTATATGGAATTGTAAGAAATAGTTGTAATAATGATTACCAGGCTATCAATAATCCCCACAATGCCTTAGATATGGAAATCACATTCTAGGTATTTTTGTTATATAAATTATCTTCTCTGTCAAATATCTAGTCTCCTCCTCCCACTAAAAACATACCTAGATATTTAACCAGGACTTAATTCCAGACTTTTGTCCATCTTGATAGCCATGCTCTGAACTTGCTCCAGTTTATTAATGTCTTCTTTAAACAGGTATATGCAAAACTAAGCACAATACTGAAAGCATGTTCTGATCAAAGCAAAGTGCAGTGAGATGCAGATCATGTAGATCTGGACCAGTGGTGGGTTTCAAAAATTGTTCGAACCTACTCTGTGGGTGTGGCCTCCTTTGTGGGAGTGGCTTGCT